AGGTCTTATTTATAACTGTTTTTTTTTATATATATAGTTCCTAGTTCTGTAGGTATCCATTCCAATATTTTTCGGGCCATCCGTCTTCTTGCATTCTCTTAACATGGCCAAAATCAAGTTGATTAAACTCGGTTTCATCGTTCTTGGCGTGTGCCTAAAATACTGTCTCTCTCTCTGATACACAGATGCGTAATTCAATTGTGCGAGTCACGTTCGTCTTGGTTAAGTGCGATGAAAAGGGAATGGAGAGACCACTCACGTCTCCCAGTATTGTAGCAATAACACCGATGCGTTTGGCCGATACGGTGTCGGTGATAAGTTCGGTCTCTTTACGAATAGAGATAGCTGCCACTGGAGGAGGTAAACGAATCGAGCTTAGACAAGGAAAGACAGATGAAACAACTTATTGCAAGTGTTTTTACGCGCACACGCCAAGAAAGATGAAAACGTCTATATCTTCTTTCAATCTCTTCTTATATATTTCTGCCCATATACATTTCATTTCTTACTTGCCTCTTTTCGAATTATCTTTAATTTTGATCTTTGACAACTCTTCCTCATAAAATTCGAACAACCGAGCCGTATAGGGTAATACTTTCAAATATACTTTTATAAACGTGTTTTTCCTGTCTCTTTTTATTGATCTCTCAACAAGAAGAGAATTTAGTGCCCAGATAGTGGCTCTGTTTTTGTTATTTCTATGTCATATTTCGTCCTTGCCATTTTATTTTTTGTTAATGACCACTCCTAGATATTTACTTTTATCTATACATTTTATGTTTTCCGTATCTATAATGAGATCTTTTGATACTTTTTCTGACCACCAGGTGTTCACAGATATGTTCATGGTAAGGTCTAAGGCTTCGTATTCTTCATTTAGTCTACTTCTTCTTAAGTTGCCTTCTCCATTACTGAAGGTTGGCTATAAATACAGCAAATTGTTCGCTACCTTGAGCTGTTCTTAGTATTGAATGTGTGTCCATGCCTGTCCAGTCTCTTACATTCTTCAACCAGGAGCATTTTCTTCTTCCTGGACCTCTTCTTCCTTCCACTTTCAATTTCCTTCAATTACGCTTTGGTCATCCGTAAAGAATAAAGTCAAATCATGCAAACAGTAGCAGAAAGACCACATCTGTCTCAGTCCTAGTGGATAAGCGAAATATAAGACTGTCTTCATTCTCCTCAAACATCCTCTATGTTAAGGTATTTTTCGAAGAGTTTTTAGAGCATTTCTAGTAATTTTATTGAGCCGAACCGTACAAGTTCTAGATTTATTTCGTCATAGACCTGCAGATTTCCGCAGTATTGTTCCTTTTGCAGCTCTTTACATTTATTCCAAGCTTAAATTCATCCTTTTACCTGTTGAATATTCCGCTCATCCTCTGGAAAATTTTCTCGCATTTTCGTCAATAACTTAGTAAAGTGCTTCATCCTCTTTGTTGATATACTTATTATTACTGTGCTTCTATTATTCGTCCTGCTGCTTTTTAGGGACTTTCATGTTTTAGAGCTTTTAGGAACTCCAATATGGTTATCTATATGGTTAAATTTATTTTGACAGATACTGTACTTCTTGTTTAATTGTTTTATTCATTTGCTTGCACTCTTCTACTGTTTCTTTTGTCTAATCGTGTCTTCAATGTTTTTGTCCCATCGTATGGTTTACCAGCCTTTTTGTCTTTTTTTTCCTAGGATTTCTTCTGCTGCTTTCTTAATGCAAGTTTTTATACGTCCACAATTTATTCCACACATTGTGGATGGCCACACTGACAAACATGAAAGTCTTGAATGGATAGGAAGAAAACACAAATGAATTAGTGGCATCCCAATAAAAATAGGTTTTTGATATTTCTTATAGCTCTTGCACTCTACTCAATGAAAAATTAGGAACAATGGGTTTGAGCAAAAATGCAATTGGTAATTTAATATAATAAAAACATTTACAATAATTCGACAAAAGTTGATGCATATTCTTAAATTAAGATGCAGCGTCTCAACATGATATTTTTAGAATTAACAATTGTTTACGTTTAGCAAAATGTAGGTAGCTGGCTATTCTTAAATATATTTTATAATATAACATAGTTACAGATAAATCTGTGATACTACTTTAACCTAAAGCTAAAATATTTTTATTGCAAAAATCGAGGATTTTGAAGCAATATGAATTTAAATGTACTGATGAAATCATTATTTTATCGTTTCAAAAGCAAATTAGTCAAACCAAATTTTTCATTTGCGATGAAAGCAATCTTCTTTTAGCAGAACCAGAGTTTACCATGATTTTAATTGATGCTACTATACTTCTACTCAATATTTGGTGCTGTAACTTGGTGTTGTTTTTTCCAATTTACTAATTGTTTATACTTTAACATGAGTCGATATAGAGAATTGCTTCTAATTAATATAAATGAATAATTCACAAGGGGATATCATTTACAAATAGCACTTAAATGGTAAGACGAGTTTGATCGTGGGTAAGAAAATTTATTGAAGATTGTACACTATGTAGGGAGCTCCAATACGATAATGAGGAGACATAAAATTATTCACGAAGATATCAAGTTAGCAAAGATTTCTTAGTACCAATACCAAAATTGAATAACCCAATCAGAATGTTGAAAAAAACAACGAGCAGTACGACAAAAAAAATCAAGTAATGAAGAATCATGTTATTGTAAAGACCAAACCAAAATGGAGCTAGCATAAAAAAATTTCGAAACCCCCCCTCATGCAAATTCTGAATGCGCCACTGTAACGTAGATAGAAGAATACATTGATAACATGTTGCCAACCAAAAAGTGGCCACAAACAGTTTTAATTCAATTAATGTTAATTAATTTTTGAACAAATGTTTTGTTCATTTATTTTTTAAATAAAATACGCTGTTCATGACGTATATGCACGTTTTTGTATCAAATTAAAGTTTTTTTTTTTATAATAATGTTATAAGGTTGGCTGAGAAAAAATGGTCGCAAATCAGGGTTGCCAGCTGTTAAAAACGCGAAGTATCAAGGATAAAATAAAAGAGAGCTAATTTAAATTAAATTGAGTAGCAATTCGTGACCATGGCACATTTTCTTTAAAACATATCTTACAATAATATAAAGATTCAAAAACTAAAATATCTTGGTCACGTCCTGAGGACAAAATTCCAGCTGTTGGTACTAGCTTTAGACTTTAGAAGAAGACGCATTACATGGCTCTGAAATCTAAGAGAGCTGTTTAATTACTCATACAACCAACTTTTAAAATAGTAGTCAACGAAATAAAACTGATTATAAGTTTTTTCTCATTGATAAAAATAAATGTGGCTGATTAAATAATGAATTCATCAGTACAATACGAAATATTTTTCTCTGGCTCATGTCCAACTGTCTTTTTAAAAACGATGTGTGTTAAAAAAGTAACTGTGACATTCATCTTCATCCCATAAGCTGTCAAATTTCCTAAATAAGGAACAAAAACGTTAATCCGAAATAGCAATACCTCCCTTAATAGATTACGCATAAATTATTTATTTATATTAGTTGTTAAATATATTTGTTGTGTATAAAGAACATTAAGAGTAGTTATAGCATTTTGTATTATACTTTTTTGGATTTTTGTTAGAGCTATAATAAAATGGCGTATATTTGGATGTTACCTTGTCTTATTTATTTCCACATAACTTATCTTGTAACAGAACCAATAGAAAAGTAATGAAAAATTACAATTTTTAGTTAACAGTAATTTGGTCATAACCGCTGTTTGAAGAGAGAGAGAGAGAGAGAGAGAGAGAGAGAGAGAGAGAGAGAGAGAGAGAGAAATTGGAATTGGTCTGTAGTAAAGGTCAATCGTAATTTATTCTCCTCTTAGATATTGTACTAGATTTACTAAAATATTAGAATGTTCCAACGATCTGGTCGACAATGATCTGTATGAAAATCCCGCTGGGGTTCATAAAGTGGATTGAGTTATTGGGTTTTTGTTGAGTATTGTAGAAATTTGAGTGTTTTCAGATGAGCTCAACAAAATGTGTTGAATTTTTTCCATCGAGTAAAAAGACAAAAGAGGGAATCTAATCCTTATGAAAAGGAGACCAAAAAAGTGGCCTTTGATGGCGGACATATCCGGAAATGCGAATGCGCCAAATTTAAATTTTCTGACACTTATTAATAGTAGCTATATAATATTTTTCAGAATGTGTTAGACGAGCAATATAAATAAGATTTCATGTGACATTTGAGACAAACAATAACATAACCCAACTAAATTTGATGTCAAACAAGAAGTGAGACTCTCTTTCCTTGTTTAATGTGGCCTCTAAAGATCACACTTCCTGTCTAACAATATTTTTGCCCCCACTACCTTTGCATTCCCTCTATTGTCTTTTTGCTCGAGATTTTTTCAGAGATTTTTGAGTTATCCAAAGGTAATGAAGGCAAAGTGGGAGAAATTGATAAATTATGAAGAAATATATATTGCTGAAGAAGTTCAATTTTTCTTTTTAGGATTAACCTATGGATATTTGGGTCATGACCGTTACATCGTATATCTGTATATTCCCTATTAGGGTGCTTAGCTTTTCGTAGAACTCTGTTTTGGTTGCTAAGTCTTTATCTTCAGTGGGCGCATGTACATTAGGGAGAGCGCCCACCAAACTGGCATGGCAAGTGGCAAGTAGCGCGCGTCTAGCATGTTACTTAAAATGTAACCAATGAAAACGAATGATTCAGCGCACACCAACATGACAGTTACGTCAGTCATTCTAATCATTCGTTTGCATTGGTTACATTTTAAGTAACATGCTAGACGCGTGCTACTTGCCACTTGCCAAGCCAGTTTGGTGGGCGCTCTCACTTAATGATACTTATCTTCCTATACTTTCCTCTTACTCTCAAGTAACATATTTTATCTGATATTGGTTGAAAATTAACAACTGCTTTGTTTCTCCGACACCATGAATCCCACTCCAAAATATCTCTTGGTCCCCCCTTGGTGAAGAAATAAAAAACAATTTATTGAAAACACATTTTATTCAAAAAATCAACAAATATTGCACACAAAATATTATCGTAAACTTTCTTCAAAATCATCATCAGTGATTTCAATCGTATCAACAATTTCATCGATAATCATCATAATATCTTCTAATCTTTCATTTGCCTTCTTAAACTTTCTATAAAATGCCACCTTTTCATCCTCGTAGTTATTTCCTTCGTTTTCACTATCTGCCTTTAATTCGGTATCTAAACCCTGTTCACCTGTTTGGTACTCTTCCTCACTCTTGTCTAAATCGGCAGTGCTGTCCTGTAACGGAATTTCATCTGTGAGCTTCACTTTAAGAGGTTCTTCCATCACTTTAGTGGAATCACTTGTAGGTTTAATCACAACCTCATCAACTTCCTTTTTCTCTTTTATTTCTCTACTTCCTTTAGATTTCTTCGCATCCCCTTTTTCAATTATTCTTTGATCTAACACACCGACTAACTCCTTTTCAAGAGTTTCCTCTAATTTCGATTTTATTAATTCTTTGTTTATAATTTTGGGATTACTTTCAATTAATTCAATGATTTGTCGTTTGATCTTGCTTATTTCTTCACGTTCTTCCAGAATTTTATTTTCCTCGATTAATTTCTTTATATTTTCTTTAGGATGGTCTACTACTACCACTGCCTCATCTTTTTCATCATCAAACATCTTTTTCCTTCTAAATTTCTGTATCAATTTGCGTATATTCTGTTTGACGTGTTGTTTATTTTCTCTATTATATTCTTCGTCAAAAGATTTCTTCATGTGACTTCTATCCTTTAAATGAACACGTTTTTGGGAAACAGCTAACGGTTTTTGACTATATTTGTCATCAGTTTCTGGTTTAACAGTTTTTTCAACGGAAATCTCAGGTTTCTCGGTGCTTTCTGCATTTTCTACGGCTTCCAAATGTTCTGGAATACGTTTTCTATTCAAATAATGTTTAATTTTTTTATTAGAAGCTTCTTGGAAATCGTGCTCGTCATCATCTTTAATCAGGACGGTTTTTTGATTATGTTTGATTAATTTTTCTGTTGTATCAAGTTTATTCCCATCCAGATCAATATTTTTACTCGTGATATGTTTGCTTCTTTTATTAGATAGATCTTGAATGTTATTCATGTTATTATCTTTAGGTAATAAAGGTTTTTTATCAAGTTTGACCAATTTGTCCGATTTATCTACTTGATCTTCATCCACGCCAATGTTTTTACTCGTCACGTAATGTTTGCTTCTTTTATTAGAAACATCTAGATGTATATCAACATTATCCATATTTGGTTTTGGAGGTTTCTCGAATTTTGTATCAATAGTGTCATGATCTATATTTTTAAATTTGTACTTTTTGGTTTGAATTTCATCAGTCACATCATTGTCACTCTTGGTCTTTTTACTACGAGAATATTTCAGTTTAGGTGCTGCATCCTTGTCTATTTTAGTATACAAGTTTTTATCGTCAACTTGATCATCTTCTGTTTGATATACTTCTTGATTCTCTTTTGTATCTTTTTGCTTATAAATTTTCTCGTTTGCTACGGTTTTTGAGTCTTTTTTCTTTAGTCTTTCAAAATTAGTCTCCTTATTTATATTCTTAACAGCTAAATTATCATCAATGTTAGCGACATTTTGAATATTCTCTTGATATTTAAGAATTCCATCTTCACTTTGATTTGCTTTTTCTGTTGCAGTTTGTACCAAACTGTTCACTTCTTCATCACTTTCTATTTTATCAGCCTCCAAGTTATTTGCACTTTCTTCTTTGTTTTCTTCAGATTTGGTCAGTTCTTTACTTCCATTATCATCATCATTTTGGTTATCGTGTTCACTTTCTATATCTTCTGGTACTTGAGTTTCCTCAGATACATTGTCCGATTGATTGTTCTCTTCATCCCCTTCATCTAAACCGTCACTAAGTTCTGTATCATCGCGATCATCTTGATCCAAACTATTATCATCTACCCTCAAAATATCCTTATAGTTCCGTCTTCTTCTTAGAAGAAACAGAACCGGTTTGGTGTTTATTTTAATCGGTGGAATGGTGAGGTAGTTAAAAGATATCTTATGAAAGGCTTCTACCGTATCTATGACGTCGTGAGTCGCTGAATAAGGTTTGAGACTTTGTGAGAATTTACTTTTACCTTCCACTATGAGATGTGTGTACCGATATAGTTCGTAATCACCTGGTTTAAGGCCTTCCTTTTTGCTGTACCTAAAAACAAAAGAAAATACAATGTCACCGTGGATTATTACAACATAAATAATACATTTTATGTAATAGATAAATTTGAAATAATCATCGTCTTCACGAGATAGCCCCCTCCCCCAGAGAACCCCGATATGATGAAGTTCCCGCAGACGCAGTACTCCTGTGATCATGGGACGCGCTGCATTCCACTATGATTCGGCATTAGATTATTGTACCGACAAATCGGTAACAATTGGCAAAATTACAATAATTTGTATATAAGGTGTTATATTACAGTGGGGAATCTAATGGATTATGTTGTGCTTAAGGCAAAGTATTTAATATATATTCCGAAGAGTTACGCAAGCACTTGAAAACTGTACAGAAGGGATCAAGAAAAATGGTGAAAATATAAATAACATCCGTTATGCTGACGATACAGACGATATAGACGGACCTGTAGATGTTACTAAACACAATTTGTGATACTGGGGAACAGTTTGGTTTAACAATAAACATAAAAGAAAACAAAAACCATGGTTATCAGTAAGAGGGGCAAAGTCATTACAAGGATCCAGATAAAAAAAAAGATATTGAGCAAGCGGACAAAATGAAATACTCCAGGAGTCTGGATTACAGAATATCTGAATCTGAAATCAGAAATTTGCTCAAGAATAGAGCAATCAAGAGGAGCCTTTTTGAAGACGAGGAAATTTCTGGGTAACCAAAGACTCAATCTGCAAATCCAATCTCGGATGGTAAAATGTTATATCCACTCTATTCTTCTTTATGGTGTCTAATCCTGGAATATTAATGTTGACTTAATGAGAAAACTGAAAGCCTTTGAGATATGGATTTGTAGGCGAATTTTGAAGATACCATGGACCGACCAAATTACGAACGAAATGGTGTTGGACAGAATGGGAAGAGATAAAGAACTTTTGACCACCATTAGAAGGCGAAAGACAGCATATTTGGGACACATACTTAGAAATGATAAGTACGAGTTGTTGCAGCTGATTTTGAAGGGTAAAATCGAAGGAAAGGGGGTCCTGGTAGACGACAAATATCCTGGCTGAAAAACACACAGACGCTCTTACGTAAAGCAGAAGGTAGAGACAAATTTGCAATGGTTATAGCCAATCTTCATTAGTGGAACCGGCACTAGAAGAAGAAGAAGGCAAAGTAAAATTGCCACAATTGGTCACACCTCCAACTCCCTTACGTTCTTTAGTTTCTGGGATAAAAAATGATCCTAAACACTTCTTGGTCAACGTTTTAAAAGCATTTTATACATTATCATTTCGTTGTATCTAGGTGACAATGTTCTTTAACTAAAATTATCGTTAATCTAACTTCTATGGGATGAATAATGACATTATATCTATTTCATACTTACGTCCAATTGGGGTTGATTTGGGTAAAGCGTGATACGCCACTTTGAGCAGCTAAGTTTGATATGTGTACTCTCACGTTGGGTTCATCTCTGGCAAGTCGATGAAGTCGAGATATAGCTACACCTCCAGGATAATTCGTATTAGAGACGCTTAATAAAAATAGGGTGAAGGCGAGATTGACTGCTAAATGCCCGACCACTCCCATAGAGAGTAAATGGTAAATGGGTGATTTATTTCGATTTTCCCATCTAAAAATAATAATATTAGTCAATAAAATGGCAATGGACATTGTTTTAATAATATATGAGACATCCTAATAGCAACACGTGCCTGAGAGTTTTAGCAACACTGATCTCCATAAGCGCAATGTTATTTTCTTAACTTATTATAGGAAACAAATTATAGGTCTTTTTTAAATTGGGAGAGCAATTGGATGTGTTGTGTAAAGCTGGTTAATGGTATTGATGGGACTGAGAGAATCCGTAATTATAATATACTTACATTCTGTGGCAAGCAGTTGCTGCAGCTACATTCAAGACAGGAAAGACATAGATTATAAAACGTAACTCCTTATGCGGTAAAAATGAATAAAGCACTACAAATACCAGTGCTGGAATCACCATTTTTGCTACTCTCTGATCTAAAATAATACCTACAGGTAACAAAAATACTGATGTTGCCATACCTCTCGGTATCGCTGAATAGAAATACCATAAAAATGGAGAGGTCTGTAGAAAGTTAAGAAAAACAATACAAATTATTTAGTTATATAAGGCAAATGTATGGAACCGTGAATCGATTAGCAATAATAAGTTAATAAAATAATTATTATACGATTTGTTTGATAGGTATTGTGTAATATGACCTATCTTCATATTAGGCGAGACAATGAAGCAGTAAAAGGGCTCAAAAACCTACCAAATTTTTGCAATTCGATGGATCTCAATGAAACTTATTCGATCCGTATGAGGGTCAGAAAATTTTGTGAACAACAATCATGATGTGAAAATGAATATTGCATTATTGAACAAGAAAACCGTATTTTATAAAGTGCATTTAGAATTGATAAAAAATGATAAATTTGTAATTCAGAAATAATTAAAGGAAATGAGTTCAATATTACTACTGAATTTTGTAAAAATTCGATACAAAATCAGTGCAAATTCGTTATTCGTCAGTTTTTGGCATCGCTGATCACGAATATTGTGACAGTGATGGTCTTCGGTGCCCCTGGTTCTCACGACAGATCCCGTCTCCTGGAGTTTTGGGGAAATTCGATACAAAATCAGTGTAAACTCGTTACTGGGGGGTTTTACTGATAGAAAAGTGTTACTGATAGGCAGATCACTTCACTAAATACAAACATGTTGTTCATAAATTATTCGTTGCTATTTATTATATGCTAGTTGAGTATTTGCTTAATTCGTAGAAATTATTAGAAATATTCTCTGCCTCTGCGAGCATCAAAGTCTTCGATACAAATTTATAGCAAAGAAAAATGTGATTCTAGAAACTTTTAGGCATCTAAAAATGTATCAACATCATTTAATTACTAAAATAAAAAGGATACGCCCCAGTTCGAGCTTTTATTCAGTACTGTATTATACCATAAGACCTCTCCTTCTGGCCATAAAGGTCTATTCCAAAAAATCGAGTCTATCACAACAGTTAATATTAAAAAGGCTAATCCTCCTGGAACAGCTATTTGTAACAGTCTACAAAAATAAAGAAATTATTTTTTTACATCAAGAATTATAATTTATTTACTAACCTACCGTTTTATTGTTATCCTCTTATTATATAGATCATAGAGCAGAAGAATACCCAAGAAAAGTGCTAGTTCTGCTCTAAAAATAATGATAGCTGCTGCAGAGCACAGGATAAAAGTCTTGTTGTTGTTGTTGAGCCAGCCATCTAGTGCCAGTAAAACTAAAAAAAATATATTCAATCAAACTATGTACATATTTTAACGTATTTAATAATAGCCAGGGAAAAACCAGGGAGCATTTAACATGATTTTTAATATTTTTGATTGAACTCTTTATGTTATCTTAATGCCTGATGGTTTTGAGCAACCCAAAGCTGGATCCTCCTCCTCAATCCTTTAGCCCTTGTCAGGGCGTAGTGACACCCTAAATATTATTAGTCTGCTGTCTCCATTGACTGCGATCTTGTGCCATATGGACGGCTTCATGTAGGGATTTTCCCACCAAACTCTTCATTTGGTCCACCCATCGTATTGGAGATCTTCCTCTTGGTCTTCGGCCTTCTACCTTACCTTCTACTACCAATAGTTCCATGGTGCCCGTTCTTCTAGCTATGTGGCCGAAGTAAGTTAGGTATGCTTGGTTTACTTTTTTTAGTAGCCTGTCTTTTATATGAAGCTCTTCCAGAATTGACAGGTTGGTTCTATGTTCTGTCCAGGACACGCGTAGAATTCTTCTATATACCCACATTTCGAAGGCTTCGATCTTACTCCTATCGATTTTTTTGAGAGTCCATGTTTCAGCTGCATATGTAGCAATGGGAAAAATAAGGGCATTGACCAACCTAAGCTTAGTATTCCTTGTTATTGTTCGGTCTTTCCATATTTTAATTAATTTAGCAGTTGCGGTTCGGGCCATTCCTAGTCTACGTTTGATTTCTGAGGAACAATCACCATTGTTGGTTATCAGAGAGCCCAAGTATACAAATCTGTCGACTACTTCGAAAATCCCTATTTGGCGTATATGCGGTAGATTATTATTTGCTCTGTCTACAATCATTATTTTTGTTTTTCTGGTGTTAAAATCTGGATACCATAGCTCAAAATCTATTTTATTATACATTTGTACAGCAGCAGCTTATTTTCTATGGTTAGTTTTGATTTTGGACCAATGAGCCAGCTCATTTGTCTTACTATAATGTAAAAAGTAAAGGAGAAAGCACAGAACCTTGTAGGTCATTTTATCAAGTTTCGCCTGTTTGCTCATATTCTTTCCCATTATAACCTGGAATGTTCTGTTTGTCATCATATTATCAATGCAGTTGATTATCTGTCTGCAGGTAAACTGTCTAAATGGACCACTTTATATTTTAATCTCCAATCAGTATTGTATGCTGCTGTTAAGTATATGAATGATGCAGCTCTTTTTTCTTTCTTTTGAAAACTAGCTTCAATAAAAGTTGTTAGTGATAAGTATTGATCGATACAGCTCCAATGAGAGCGAAAGCTGGCTTGTTCAGTACAGACATTTTCTAGTATCATGTGAATAGTTCTATTGAAGAGAAACTATTCTTAATAAAATAGTTTATATAGCATGCTCAGTAGAGCTACAGGGCAATAGATAGCTGGCATATTATATACTTATACCTCCTTTTGACATATGAATCACAAAGAACTAAAAGATTGATTTTTTTTTTTTAATTTTTAGATCGATCCAATACAATCAATAATTGTGGTATTCAAATCTTCCTAACCATAATTATATAAAATATGTATGTATTACAAAATAATACTAACCTAGAGGCAGAGCAAAAATATTTGGCAATGGACGGCTTAGATAAAACATGAAGTGGCTTTGAGTCACAGTTATAGCTATAAACCACTGCAGCCATCTTACTCCAAATTGTTTTTCTAAAGTTTTACTTAATATATTAAAGCTGTATACCACACAAGTAGCAAGAATGGTCCTTACTAAAACAAAACAAAATGCATTAAACTTTTTCTTATTATATTTTTCTTGATAATCCTCATCAAGTTTGGAATTTTAAATGTAGTAATGTTGAACAACAGAAAAAGCAATTGTTTTGTAATCTACTAACCTAGGTACTGGACCCAAAATTTGTTTACATCTAAGAGTTGAAGTACTGCTACTATAGGTGATGCAAGAGCTGATATGAAGAGAGGTCCAATAAAAGTTCGTGGCACTACTCCAGGAAACTCGAGATGATCGTACTACAATTAAATCTGGTTCAACATATGTTCAACAATTTCGTGTTCATACAGTTACATACAATACAGTGTCACAGTAATATTATTAAATTATTTAAATGCTGGAAATGAATGAACTACACTTACACCATAAGGAAATGTTTGTTGGCAAGAAATCAGTAAGCAGATCAATAATTTGTTTTTATATTCATATTGGATGTTTTCAGAATGGGTTCCAAAAAAAATTATTTATTTGCTATTGTTGGTTTTGTTATGATTTTAACTTTAATCTTTACATTCTAATATTTTTTTATAATTTCACATTTTGTTTATAATTTTTACTACTCCAGTTTTACAAAATATTTTCAGATACAAACAAAGATAAACAACTATGTAGGAGACTACCAAAATAGACTTAGACCTGTAAGATTGAATATAGATTCTATAGATGCTTTGGAAAAATTCTACAAAAATCTTGGGAATACAACAGAAAAATTCATATATCTGGTATTTACTGATCTTAAAAATGCCTTCAACGTGATAAAGAGAGGTAAGGTGATGAAAGCATTTAAGTAGAGATATAAAAAAAACAACAGGAATGATCCTAGAAGAAGAGAAGTTTAACACAGGCCAAGAAGTAAAGCAGCACTTCCTGGTAATTGTATTCACTGGTTACTCTGTTTACCATTTATTCAATTTACAATTTGAGAATAACTTGACTTTTATTGAGCCTGAGTAATGTTTTCTATGTACATATTTTGCTTGTCATTTCTAAATATATTGGCACTACACTTATGTACCGTAATAATAAACCAGCAAGATGTGAAGCATATACCTACTGCCCAATAATAAAGTGGCTCTATTTTTATTTTACAGTACCTTTAAAATATTTTAAAGTTCTGCACAAATGTTTCTATATTTTGTGCATGTCATTAATTATTCGAGTTGGAAGCTACTTTATTATCAAGGGTAATAAGTTAAAATACTAAAAATAAACGATCGTTATTAATGGATTACCTGGGTAAGGTTAAATCCATGATATAGGATATCATGAATGGCCTGTAAGTTAAAGCTTTCTTCTACTTTCGTAAATGGACAATAGACTAGATATGCCGAAGCAATTATCAGCATAATTTGAGACATATTTACTTAAGTACTACCTTTTTATCTGCATAATTAATAAAATAGTAATATTAGAACAAAAATAGATTTAACCTAACCTACATTTTTAATTTTTTATGAGTTTTGACAATGACACATATTCTTCCTGCTGGCACTGCTATGGATAATTTTCCTGCTGACCTATTATTATCAACAAGAAAGATAGAGAGAATGAGAGAGCCACAGTACATAGCCCTCGAGTAAGGTAAGTCCCATAGAAAGATTCGGTAGTTTCTAGCGCCAAATGCGGACGGGCCGAAACTAATTCCATTTGGCGGCAAATTTTAAACGAAGGTTTTGAATTTTGGGCGTAAATTCAAAAAATATGCTCTGAATTTTTGGCAGCACAATTTAAAAAGTATGCTTTTAATGGAAAATATAGTCATAAAATAAGAAATAAAACTTATTCTATGCCAAAAACTATATTCACTCTGTCCAAAAATGTAATATACGGCATTTTTATATATAAATGCAGAACATAGTATACAATATATATTATGATACATGAAAGTTTTTATTTATTATTGTATGGCTATATCTGTTTTCCATTGCATTAACAAGCCAAAGTCCGGAAAACGACAAAATAAAACAAAGATATCCTGACACTTGTTTATTTGTATAATTTTCTTTGGTATTGGCAACAAATCTCTTACTCCTCAGGGGGTGGATGGGGACACTCTAAATATTGTTAGCTTGCTGTCTCTATTGGTTGCGATCCTATGTACTACATGGAGAACTTCATACAGGGATTTTTACACCAATCTTCATTTAATCTTCCCATCATGTTGGAGATCTTCCTATTGATAAACAAATAGAGATGCCTCTATACCTATTCATTATTAAGGGACCATCTGTAGATAATAAAGTATAAACTTTAGCATTTCGGCGATCTTGCTCTTCAGAATCATCACAAATTAGTATGTATATTGCTCAGAAGTAGAAATTAATGGTCCATGAAAATCTATAATAATGAAATATTATTAAAATTAGTAATATGACTTTTTTTTGTAAAATAAGGCAACTTTAAGGAATGCAATTATAAGAGTTAAGAGTTTTAATGATGTTAAAATATAAGTATATAAATAAGATTTATGTAGGTTAATATTTAAAGGTAATTGAACTACAAAAGCAAAATGTACAAACTAGTATTGGATTTGTATTTACTAACAAAACTTTGGTATAATTAGGTGCTGTTCTTACCTGGTGCTTGTAAAAATAAACTCCTTAATCTTCAGAATCAACAGCCCTTTGTCCAACTTTAACTTTCAGCCATCAACAAAAATATTCTTTTTATTTTTCGATTTGGAACACTATACCATTTTGGTATTGTACCTGATTCTCTTTTAGCAATATTTATTAGTTATATAAAAATTGATGTATACTGTTTTTATCTCCTATTTTCCAAATTTGGGATAGTATAGTTTTTATAACGCCATTTGCAATTTGCAAAAGCGTGGATTACAATGTTGCCACTAACACATTTTTTTTCCAGTGCATACTCAAAATTCTTTATAAACAAGTTATTGAAAATTAAAGTTGTGATGTTAGTAGAATGTGCTACAATCTTGGTTTTTTTGGAAAACATTGTATAGTATAATCATCATTTGGGTAAATATGCAAAACTAGTGAAACCATGGCAACAGCACTTATATCAACGTCACACCCCTTTTGATATGTCAACGTGACTAGTAGCGCCGTCGCCATCATGAACGGTTGGCCCACGCAACTTACTTTCTCCACCTTTCCTATTTCAGTGACACTGCTATTTGTGGTATATACTGTGATGAAAGATAGAGAAACAAGTTGATATGAAGCCATGGTCACAGAATAATAAACAAATTGTTTATTATTCTGTGTTTATACTGTGTCAGTGATATGGGAAAGAGATATACAGTGTAGGTAAAATTTTAAGGTCGGTATGGTAAAATTTAACAGTATATCTAACGCAGATATAAAATCATATTTTCAGCGAATTAGACAAAGATAACAATCATATTTCCCCTTCGTCTCCCCTCCTAAAATTCTTTTAACACTCATTGGCCATTGCCCATTAGTTAGACGATTAGTTCCCATAGATAAATAATATAATAGTAGAAATAGATAGGCAACTCAATGTATAAATTTCGTTCATTAGGCCCCTTGCGGCTGGGGTCAATACTAATCATCTTTTGGCGGCAAATTCGAATGAACACCCCATACATACATACCCTTTAGCTCCTCTTGTGGGCTATTTCGTTACTAATTAAAATTTATTGGAAAATAAGGATATAAGATGCACAATTTTTTCTAGATATACATATATTTATTTGTTGTTTAAGATAAAACAGTTATAAAATAATTACATAATATTTATTACACATATTTGCAGAAGTTAAATACTATTATTTTTTGCTTTCTGACAACTCACTATCATTCTTTTTGTAATTTTTCCATGATTTGTACACAACGAACAATACAATAATTCACCATGTTTAGTTTTGTTACTAGCACAACACAAAAATTCTTTGCTACAATAGGTAACTCAAAATAAACTTTAAAAATTAAGTAACCAAATTTAAATTAAAATTACTAACAATAAATGCAAACGAAAGTTAAAGATAATAAAATAAAATTGAAAACTTGTAAACAAACGGAAGATCTGTCATTAATTTGGATTGACAGAATTGACATTGCTTCGTTTGATTATTTTATTTGGTTTATGATTGGTTAAAGTCTTCGTGAGAGAGATAGGCTGTCATTTCTCTTTATTAACTCGCTGGGGTCAAAGTGATGGGGGAATGAACCAAGTCATTCCTATAAGATTCCAGGCCATGATTAGTTCCGATCAGATATTCTCTGGTTCCGATCCTAATATACCTAAAAAACTAGAGGTGGGTCCTCTCGTTTTTTTAATTTTTATCGGAACCGTTTTTCGTAAACTGTAACTAGTTGATTGTTTACCAGTATTCAAATTAGCGAGTACACAAACATATCGATACATTTTTGGCAAAGTAACGTAAGTCACCAAAAACGATTTGTAGAAAAAACAATTTTTTAATTCAACCTGCTTAAACTTATTTAAATTATGACTGAAAAAACTTGTCCTAAAAAAGGTTTAAAGTAAATCTAGGTTTACTACACTCTTTCAGTACCTTTTTAACAGTAATAGCATTAGTTTAATTGAAAAACATTATTTTCGCCAAAAATGTCACTTACGTTACTTTGCCAAAAATGTATCGATATTGGCTATTATCGTTTATGTGTATAAATATTGAAATAAAAGAACCTAACGAAGGATATATTTATTGTAACTTGAAAAATAAATTAAATAATACAAATGGTACTTAAATACTTACATTTACACTACACATTATTAAATCGCGAATCGTCTAAATTGACATTTAAAAACATAAGTTTTTCCACCTTTCTTGTTAATCGCGTTCTTCTTTTATTTAAAATTATACCAGATGTTAAACATGTGTTCACAAGGAAAAGATTTTGTTACAATACTACAACATTTTATGAATATAGTGGTTAAGTTACGATATACATGGCGATGGTTTTTTCACCACGGTAATGGACAGTTCCAATCTCCGTTCGAAATTGTTTGTGGGTAATATCTCATCAGACAATTACATGTCGACTTCTTTTATACCTCTCGATACAGGTGTATGTTTAGATGAGTCATGTCCAATTAATTCATCAACAATACACCATGGACTTAAGTCATCTTTATCAGTTTCTTTTTCTTGGACTGATTGATTTTCAAGATTTACTAAACTTTTCGTTTCATCCGTTTTCCATAGTTAAAGAACCAGCTTTTAAAAAGTTTGCAGGGTGGATTCCTGGATATAAACCGCCAACAAGAAAAACTTTGTCAGGTTCATTACTTCAGGAATGTTATGTCAAAAGTGAGCAAATTATTAAATCACAAGTTGTTAAAGAAGTAGAAAATATCTGTATTACTACTGACCTCTGGACATCTGGAGTAACTGAGAGTTACTTCGCATTAACAGGACAATATTTAACCGAAAATTTAGTATTCAAAACTTTTTTATTAGGCTGCTGCCATTTTTCTGGAAACCATAATCCAGAAAACAGCGATTACTGAAATTATTAATCAGTGGGGTCTAAAACGAAAAGTAAATTTTGCAGTAACTGATAATTCCTCAAATATGGTCAAAGTTATTAAATATGTTTTGTTTTATGATGATTGTGATTTATGATGATGATTAAATTTATTGGTGGGGACGCACTTAAATGCTGTCGTGTACAAATAGATAAAATAAAAAGTCCTTTTTTCGACAATTCTGCAAAAAACACATTTCAAAAAAGTACCTTATCTTCAGAAAGGCTTTTAAAGTATTAATTACAACAGAACACAGTTCCCAAACGGCCAATCCAAGACGTGGAAACTAGGTAGAACTTCACCTATTACATGTTAAAAAGAATGACCGAGTTAGAAGAGGCAACCCGTTCCACATTGGTATTAAATAATACAGACTTAGACTTAAACCTAATCTAAATAAAGAACACTGGATTATTTGTTCTCAACTTTCCCAAATTTTACGGCCGTTTAAAGAAATAACAAGTACAATGAGTGACCAAAAATACTTGAATGCTAGTTCAGTGATTGTTATAGTACGCTGCCTGCAAGAATCTTGCAATAAAATTTTAGCAAACGGCATACTTACATCCATAGTATCCGACATAGTACAATTACTAATATCGGGTTTAGCAAAAAGATTTAGAGGGATAGAACAGAGTGGCACATTGTCATTATGTACATTTATGGATTCACGATTTAAAGTGCAGAACAAAACAAAAAGTTAAGAAGCTGGTTACTTCTATAATTAACGAACAAGAAGATTGTACTATTGAAAATCAACCAGTACAAGAAAAAGAAACCAATAAATATGACTTAAGTCCATGGTGTATTTTGATCAATTAATTGGAGATGACTCATCTACACGTACACCTGCATCGAGAGTCCATTACAAGAAAAACTTATGTTTTTATGTCAATTTAGACTATTCGCGATTTAATAATAACGTGTAATGTAAATGTAAGTCCGATTTACTATTTGTATTGTTTAGTTTATTTTTCAAGT